TGTGAAGCTGTGTGTGTATGACCCCGTATTGTATATAGGATCTGTCGTGTTTTTTTCGTCAGCCAGTCAACTTCTCTGGCATCCTTGCAGACATGCTTGAGGATCAGGAAAATGTAAACCAAGACGTTGGTCTCAATGCTTTCGTGCTCTTGGGTCCCATGAACAGGCGCAAAACTAGCAAATAATTTAGAAGTCTTTGTCGGAGATGCGTCGCCCAGGCCTCCCAGGCATACTGAGGTTTTGGGCCCACAAAACCCTCTGCTCTTGTTGGTTGTGCGGCTTGACCGTCTTTCCGTTATGTGCGCATTGACGTCGCGCCTTTCATACTTCTCCCACAGACATGGTCGGTTTCCTTCAACTGTTGAAAGCGTTCATACAGCGTTTCTGCACGTCGGTCGCAGGAGTGTTGGGAGTGGCAGCTTTGAAAGCCTCGACTTGTCACGATGTTTCCGCTTTGAACGGCGACTTGTCCCGGAGGAATGGCCTCCGGGTCAGCCAGGCGAGCTGGAGTGCGGAGCGGCAAGAAACCAAATCTCCTAAACAGAGTGGCGACCAACGCACACTCGAGCTCCACCTGGGAAGAACGTGGCTTGCAACTTGCAACAGTCAAAGTACAAAAGGGGAAAGATGGAGGCGAGGCAGCAAAAGGCCAAAAGCACATGCCAAGCACATGACACAACAACAGATGCAACAACAGATGCAACAACAGATGCAAGCTGACAACGTGCCCAACAAGTGCAGGTCATGACTGACACCACGAAGGAGGTGGAGGAGGCGACAGAGGTGGGAAACTTCTTTGCTAGGCGGCGGCTGCTCACTCTCCTGGGACTCTCCTGGAACGGCAAAAGGTGGCGCCGGCAGCGACGGACGTTGAAGCGGAGAGGGAGCCGCCGGATGAAGGCCACTTTCTTTTGGACTGAGGCATTGTCCATGGCAGCAAGAAACATCACATCGACATGCATCGCATTGCTTCGCCTGCAGTCGACCGAATACTGAGGCCTTTTTGCCAGCATCCATGCTGCGCTGTCCCTGCAATTGCTGTCGCCTTACATCAGGGCACATGCGGACGTGAACATGCATGCAAGAAGAGACGAACAGAGTGACGGGACTCTGCATGAAGCAGGCCTGGCACTGAGGAGTTCGAGGCTTGCGATGTTTTTGGAGAGACAATGTTGCATCTTTTGCATCGTCAGTGGCACGGCAGCGGTACCATTCTCTTCCAGTGTGGGTCATCCTGAGATCTAGCAGCTAGCAACCTTCTTTTCGAAGTTTGCTATCGGACCGCCAAACAGGTCCATGTTGGTTCAGGTAATGCGGGGCTGTCTCAGAGCAGGTGCCGACCAGTGCACGGCTGATGTTGGCGAAAATGTTCTGCGCTCAGCTTTCCTCGTGGCCACAAACAGTCATCGTCGTAAGAAACGAGCGTAGGGCGCTGTCTTGGGTGTTTCTTGCGTCTTCGGCAGGTGCAGCATCATCGGCAGAGGCTGTGCTGGGGATGCTGTGGATGTTGGACTGCCGTGGCCCCAGCTCCCATCTTCCATTTCGCACATGACTTTAGCGTGCAGTCGTAACAGTAGTAGTTGGAGTTGTCATTAGTGTGTGTTTAGCAGAACATTGTTGTCTGACATGGGATGGAATGGTTGGGTCTGGGACGCGAGACGGAGAGAGTTGGGAGATGAGCTGCGGCTCTGTACCGGTGGAAGTTCGCAGGAAGAGGAAACAGAGATTGGGGAAATGAAATATCTAAACGACGAACGCAGCACATACACAAACAAAGGAATAGCAAACGACGTAAACTAACAAATGCACAGCATGGATCGTGACATGGTGAAACATGCCCAAGTGCATAAGTAGCGACAGAAAAAACACAGATCTCCGACAGACGTATCATACGAAACAATGCCTAAAGAGATGCATTCTTAAATCATGAAAACCCTCTACCCCCGAGTTCGTATGGCAGTCGCCCCGCCTCCCCCTCAGCGCCACGATGTCGTACTGATACTAGTACTGCACATGCACAACCTGAAACCACTCAGATCTCTCAGTAGCAGCAAGAGACGAGTCACCCCCTCAGAAGAACGCATCGGATCATGCCTGCTTTGGGCCTTTATGGGTACCGGTGATACCAGGGGGGGGCCCATTCCCGCTGTCCTCTGCCGACTCGGAGAGATAAAGCAGAATGGCAACAACATACAACAACTTAGCCATCGAGCAGGCTCCATTCTTTTGAGAAGGAGGTGCTTCTGATGGTGTGCACCCCAGCAGTGCCAGCACAGCGTGTCGCAATGTCAGCCTACGCGGGCAAAGAACGCTGGCAACGTAGTAGCAGCCATGCTTGCAAGTTGTGTGCTAAGTCGGTGCAGGTACTTGACACCCTGACCCAGCTGGTGGCATGCCTCAGCCATTGCCTCAGCTTGGCAGGATGATGTCTGCCTTCCCGGCTGTGGTGGAGATATGCATCCCGAGATCCTCAAGCTCCTAAAGTCGACCCACAAATCTGAGAATGGACTCCCTGGGTCGTACTGATCGTCCCCTGAAGCCCAAGTGCTTCGCCTGGATGTTCGGACTGTGAGGGCCTTTGCCAAGCAAGGTATTGGCTTACTTTGCATTTGTGGAAACGAATGTTGGCGTAGTAGGCCAGTTTGACTCGAGAGACAGAGCTCAGACCATGTCTGTGTACCGGTGGCCGTTGTTCAGAGTGGCTGATGTGAGCTCCATGAGGCCAGGTATGTCCCCGTCGTGACATTCGAAACACAGCTTCGCAGGATTGTGAGGATTCAAAACCTTCCGAGGTGCCAAGGCCTCAGCAACCGCGGAGCTTGCGGCTGCAAAGGCCAAGGATGACATGCGTGAGGCGAAAGGGAGCTTGGGAGGTTGAGGATCGCGCTTAGATTCTTGGACACTAAGAAAGAATCACCCAATCATGCTACTGGTCCTCAGACTTCAAAAATCACCCGATTCAGAAATATTGCGAATGAGAAATTCCTGCCCGCCACAGCTGACAGCGCTCCGCTCTAGCAGCGACCCGCCATGCCGATCCGAAATTGAGACCCTCCCGTAATCAACGCTTCGAAAGTCGCTTCGGCAGTTGGGCCCAAGCTCCCCAGAGGCCTCCTGCGAGGGGGTGCTAGGGGTTTGCCCCGCATTGATGCGGCTGATGGTGAACAGAGAGTGAAGTTACGTGAGGCTCTGAAAAAGAGGCGGCAGTTTGACAACTGCAGCGTGGCCCGTGTGCTTAAAGGAACATAAAGGAACCATCTACAAGCCGACGCATGCCGTCGGCAAAACGATGAGAAGAGACGAGAAGAGAAGAGGAGAGAGAGAGAGAGAGAGAGAGAATATTTCCTGATCGACGGCCTCTACTCGTCCAGCGAGGGAGAAGTGAAGGGGAGAAGCCACCGGCACTGCAGGCAGCAGAGGCGCCCCCCCCCCCACACCAACCCAGAGGACTCGAACACCCCGATGCCGCGCAGACGTGGGTCCTGGAGAGGAGCGGAGCATGTGGCGCACGAGGAACAAGTGCGGGTAGGGGGAGCAAGCTGCAAGAGATCAGCCATCTCTCACATACGAGACCAAGCTGGGAAACACAGAATGCAGAGCTGGATTGGCTGACCATATGGCTATGAGGGTGCATGTTGGTTTGATTGGTGGTAGTCGGTGGGGAACTGTTCACCGAGAACCAGCCAGTCCAAAAAACAACCCCACCCGGGGGCTCGTGTGCGGAAGTTTCACATGCCCAGAAGAAGAAGAAAAGAAGAAGAGAGCTGCGCCTGAGGGTTTTGTCGTTGGCCTGCGAATGGGGGAAGCACCCAAGGGATCTTGATTTGTACAATTCGCCACCCTGTCTCGTACCAAACATGTACAAACCTTCCGAGCACCGTCCAAAAGTTTCTTTCCAAGTGCTGGCCAGGGGTGGTAGACCTACCAAACGAAAGAGCGAGAGCATTCTTTCCATCCGACCCAACAGAAAGGGCGACGCATCACTCGCACAAACACACACACACACACAAGGGAGATGCGACACAGCCACATGGTTTCACGCCAACAGACTCGCCATACATGCCCCCCTGGGGGTGGCAACTTCGGTGGCTACAGATGCCGGAGGTGGAGGTAGAGAGTTGATCAGTTGAACACGATAGTGAGTGCAAGCACAATGGGAGTCAGTGGGCACCTCATGAGGTTGTTGAACGAAGTCCCGCGCTTTGCGTGATTCTTGTTTGGCCAGGAACTGGAGCAGGCCCTTCACCAGCAAAGCGGAGCAGCATCTTGCGAGTTTGGGTAGAACGAATAATGATACGGGGCTTGGACTACGGCATTGTTGTTGGATGGATTGGGCTGGTGAAATACGCCTTTTATTCAAGAATTTGGGCACACCCACGACAGTCTCAATTTGGAGATCGTTCCTCGGCACACGCAGCACGACGAGCATTCCATATTGATGTGGCATGACAAGGACTTGCGCGACGCTGAGAGCAAGGCTGCCATCGTGCTGGAAGAGGCTGGACTGCAGAAAGAACTGAAGAAGATGGTGCCCTTTGATTCTGAGACTCTATTGTAGTTAGTAGCCATTCCAAGGCTGAGAGCAATGGAAGTGGCGGCAACATGCCGTAAAATCCTTCACTGCAGGTCACCCAAGCAAGTGAGCTACTCTCAAAGCAGAAGGAGGAGCTCGTGACGACCATCGCATAGGGGCCAGGTAGGTGGAGACCCATACGTCGCTGTGTGCCGTCACTTTCCACTGAAAACGTTCCTTTAAATTGAGACATCGAGCCTCGGTGAATGAGGCCACCCCCACTGAGACATTGAGACATTGAGACATTGAGACATTGAGACATTGAGACATTGAGACATTGAGACATTGAGACATTGAGACGCTCCATGTCTCAATCATCACCCGGGGTGCTGTTCAGAGTTGATTTCGGCTCGAACCTTTAGAAAACAATAAGGAGGAAACACCCTGGCGGGCCTCCGAAGGAGCCTCCCAGCCTTCCTTCTGCTCCATGGCAGGTGTGCAGGACGGCCAGGATCAGAAGACGTCGCAGCCAGACGTAGACCGATGTACCACCTACAGCCTCGGAGACGAGTTCTTCAGATACCAGGGGAGCGGCGAGCCCTGCAAGTTCTCGCTGCCCTGGGCTCCCCCTACCCAGAAGATTTTCGAGCTGAATTTCTTCTGGCAGCTCTGGAACCACCTCGCCAAGGCGGCCATGAAGAAGACAGTGCCCTTGGTGTCTCTCCGAAACATGTCGTACATGCTCAACGACGTCTACAAGATCCCAAACCCGCTGGATGTCAACTTCTTTGGCCATCTCTCGATGCCCCTTGTGCAGCGCTTCAGGACTTTAGGGCAAGGAATGGCCAGGTTTTGGGGGCATCGGCGGGCACCCTGTTGCAAAGAAAGGCTGGGGGCGTCAGCAGGCCCAGTAGGCATGGAGCAACGGGTGCGCAACGGGGCCTGAGCGGATGATCCGAGGAAGAACATTTCCTGGCAAGATCTTCGGCATTCATTGATCACTGACGGGCACCCGTCTATCAGGCTGACCTTCCTGGAACGAGCCTTGCTTGTGACAAGCCTGACAAGGGCCCCAGTAGAATCATGGCCTTCGTCTTGCGCACGGCATGTTTTAGTGGCCCAGGTGTCTTCCTCACCCTGGAAGAGCCCAACAGTTGCCTCCTGGGCAAGGCATGGTTCTACATGATCATGCCGCTCGGCCTGCCTATGCATGTCGTCTTCAAGGAAGTTTCAATGGTCTGCGCACCCAGGTCTGCTGCTGTCGCAAACCTTTTCAGCTTCATTCTTCCAATGAACTTCAGCTGGATGATGGCCAAGATTTGGGGCCACGCCCACCTTGAGCAGCACAAGGTCTGGCGCCGAGAAGCACGCTGAAGAAAGAGTTGAACACATCTTAAGTAGCATTCAAGAGCATTTCGCTGGCTTGGCCTTGACTCTAGACACTAGTGTCACTGCTTTCTCATCTGGCAGTAGGCGATTTTCAGTACAGCCTGCATGATGGCCACTTGGACGCATCTCTCCTCTTCCATGCAAATCTCGGCCCCTCTCCTCTCCATTCCCTGCCAAGACTCCTGTCGAGGTGTTCTCAGCAGACTATCTGGGCAAATTGGCGTGCTCGCCTTTTGCCCGAGTGGAGCTTATGCAGGTGTCTGACAAGTATTTCGATTTGGATGAGCCCCTCGGCAAGGGAGCAGATTACGAGCTCGTGACGCGTCCGTGACGAGGGACGGCTGTGACAGGCCTTGATGCAGCAGTGGTGTGTTGAGGGGCAGCCAAGGTCGCAGCGATTGGTGGTGCCGACGACTCGCGTAAAGCGGTGCCTGCATTTTGTGCTGCAAGTGACAAATATGGTGGACTTGCTCGCCATCTTGCCCTGGTGGCTGGACCTTTGCTTGCTCAACGTCTTGCCTGGGGCAGCTTTCTTACGGATCATCCGCATCTCACGGATCTTCCACCTCTTCAAGTCCGCCCGGTATTTTGACATGGTCCAAGTCCTTGGCTTGACTTTGTGGAAGAGCATGTACCTGGTTGGAGTTGTGTTCGCGCTCATCACAGTGGTGGGACTCTTTGCAGCCTGCCTGCTCCAGCAAACCGAATCATCCGTGGGCAGCGACATGAGTGAGGCCTTTGAGACAGTCCCATCATCCTGGTTTTGGATCGTCTGCCGACTGATCGGAATGAAGGACGCGAGCTATAGAGGCGGCATTGTGCAGAGCTTCATTGGCATTGCCATCCTGGCCGTCACGCTGACACTGAAGGGTGTCCTTTGGATTGTGCCGATAGCGCGCATCCGCCAAATTTTCTCGCAAGAGTATGCCGTGGTCGTCAATTCCAGCACTGCTCGAAGAAAAATGATAGAGGAATTGATGGCATTTGTTGGTGGTTCAGACCAGAGCTTCATGCAGAGCCGCTATGGGTACATCTGTGGAAGCCTCCAGCTCTTCACCAAATCAGAGGAGCAGCAAGTCTGGGTACCGCTTCCGATCCACCAGAGTGAGGTGGGGTCATAATGAGTGCGCTTCTTTTTGTTGCTTACTTTCGCTACGTTTGTGCCAGTTGCATACTGAGGACGTTAAGCTGGACAAGTTTCGTGTGAACTTGCAGTCCATTGATGCGGCCGCAGAGGTGTACCTCGAGATCGTATGGAAGCCAAGCCGCTGCGCAAAGAAAGCAAGGATTTCTTGATTTAGTTGGACCTGCTTGGCACTAAGACTTCTGACCATCCCATCGAGTGTCTGTCGTGTCAAGGAGATGCAATGAAGAACAGCGTCCACAGCCTTCCTCACGGAACCTTGAGCCTCACAATGGTCGGGGGATGGAGGCGAGCCGAGCCTTTGTGAGCCTTTCTCGGCAGTCTGCAGTAGGGCTGGAGTGCAAGCACTCCTGTCCTGATGCTTCCACCAGCTTCTGCTTACTAATCGCGAAAAGCTCGAGTGTATCATACCTTTCAGACATATGGGCGTGGCCAAGCTCTTTCCTGTTTTGCCCTCAATCAAAGCTGTTTCTTTTAGGACTTTAGGGATACGCTGCAAAACTAATTTTCTACAGGATTGTGGAGTGCAGCTCGTTGAAGAACCCTTATGAGACGAATGGTCTCAGGAATGCATAAGATATGTAGTGCATTCTGCTTGTGGCAAGTCGACAAGATGGTCAGATTGAAGAGGAAGAGAAGAATGGGGGAGGAAAGCGGGGACGACCCGTCGAAAAGTAGCGAAGAGAGGGAACGGGGCTGGGAGGAGGGCGATGAGAGCCATGAGATCTTGGCCGCTGGATTTACCTGTCCCGGAAAGGCCGCTGTATGTAGCTTTATCCAAGAATCGAAGCGTGAAGCAAGGCTAGAAGCTTTCGTTGTGGTCGGTTTGCCCCTCAAGTGAGTCATTAATTCGAAGGAGAGGAGCCAGAAATACCCGTATGTCTCCAAGTTGATGGAACTGACGTGTAGTTTTGGTTGAGGTATGTCAAGGCTCAAGGCTGGCGAGTTGGTGACATCTGCTTTGCTGCCAGGCTGCCCGACGGCCTGCATGATATTCAATGGGAAATCCCTGTCGACACCTTCAGCACAGCCGCTTGGCTTTCCCTGCTTTCTTTGCCAGATGCTCAGACATTGCAAGCGTGTGATGGTACCCGTACCGGGTAGGGCGCTACAAGCTTATATAGGACACAGGCACCATGACGATGGATTCAGTTGCGACTGCATGAAGAAGTGTCCATTCCCAGGAGAAGCGAGCGGCTGTATTAAAAGCCGGCACCAAGACAACCGACACGGTCCAGTTCGACATTTCTTGGACGGGATCTGGTGCCGACGAGCTTAGCCTTATGTGGACAGAGATGCTTCTGCTCCCTTCACCCTGAGCCACCTTCCTGAAGCCGACAAACCTGCCAGCTTCCCTCTTTAGACTTGCGAGCGTGAGCATTGAAATCTACGGCCTTGCTCAACCTGAAACCAACCCCTGACACCATCATCGAAATTCCTGGCTGTCCTCCCCAAAACCCAAAAGCGTGAAGCCCTGGCACGCTGAGGATGAGCCACGCGAGATTGATGACGACTTGCAGATGGATTACAAGGACTTCCAGAAGCAGGCTTCTAGAGATCTTTGCGGACTTACATACGGAAGACCAGCCGAACCTGGGACTTGTTACTTTCCGGCAGTGTGCGAGGTTCTTCATCTTCTAAATGAGCAAGCTGAGCTCATCCAGGACACGCAAGTCTCGCCTTTCAAAAAACAAGAGGCAAAGTCGAAAATCTGCAGCACGAGAACCAAACTAGGAGGCTTACCGGAAATTTAGGAAGTTTGCTGCCTTGATGCTTGAGCCTGGGTTTTGAAGGATGGCACGGGGGGTTCCAGCCATCCTTGGCAGTTTGCAAGCTCCTTTGCGAAGTTCCGGGCCGGGTGTGTGTGCTGCTGGCAGTTGTAATTTCGCAATGCCTGGACCAGGACCAGCAGCAGTGTCTCCATGAGCAAGGACAACGGCTCAAGAAGAAAGCATGAAAGCCGGGATGGTAGTGTTTCACAAAGTGCCAAGCTGCTTGCGCCTCTAAGAGGTCGAGGCAAGTTCTGCGGTTAAAGAGTTCTGATCAATGTTCAGGTATACAGAAAGGGCTTTGCCCTGCAAGCGTGCTGGACAGTAGTGGCCGTAACCTCCGTCCGCAGTGCTTCCATGCGAGTGGCAACCAGCAGTTCGGTCAGAGCTCCCTCCAAACGCTGCGACGGGACCTTTCGCCCGGTGTCTTTCAAGATGCACAGATCCGTTTTGTTAGATTGCAGGTATGGCAGACTGCAGATCGCAATGGGTTTTTTACAGGGTCTCATGAGAAAAGACACTGGAAGTTTAGGTCAGTGGATGTGAGGCTTGCCCCCTGCATGGAGGGGGCACCCAGTATGGTGATGCCACGCCACCCCAAAAGAGCCCCATGCATAGATGCATACATATGTGTGTATGTATGCACTTGTACATGTATATATATATATACACACACACTTATACTATGTCTATAACACCTATTCCTATTGTGAGTTTTTTTGACCAACGGCCTTCACTACCGATAAATGCGCCGCACAAGAACCGTATGTGCACAACCCTGCATTGTAGATGTGGCCTCGCACGCCGAACGCTGCTCCGCATTCCGCAAAGATGGACTGAAGCTGAATCGCAGGCTTGTTATTAAGTTCTTTCATGACCGTCAGCTCCACCAACCTCCCGTCTGCGAGCAAAAGCGACTCAAGCAGCAGCGTGCGACAGTCGCAAAAGCAAACGGGAACGACGGGAACTGCAGAAGTGAGTGGCACGGAAAGCAATGCTGTGCAAAAGTGACAATGGCAAAAACCCGAGAGGAGCTCTTGCTGAGGCGGCGTCGGGAGCAGGAGCTTGCCGCTGAGGCGCGGCTAGACTCGAAGAAAGGGGCTGTGTGGTCTTCACTGTGGAATTGTCTTGGCATGCATTTGGAAATCGCAAATATCTTTATGACTGTGGCGATTCAGAGTTACAGCTTCTGCAAGCTGTGACCGCTCGGTGCGTCACGCGTCGGCCGATGGCTCCCTAAGATGTCAGGTACAGGAATTGCAGTTGTTGGCCGGGAAGGTTGTGACAGGAGCAGGGGCAAGCAAGCTAGAGAGGCAGGATGATAGTCAAGGGCCTTCGTTTGAAGTAAAATTTGTCACCTGACAAGGCCATGTGCTTGGTTGAAGTAGGCACTATAGGTTGGCCTGCCCCGTTTGATGTCGACTCACGAACACGGAATATCTCGAGGCAGCCCGAGATTCGGCGGCACTTTCCGAAGTCGCATAATTTGTCGATTGAAGGGATGACATTTTCTGGTATGGCCTATTGGAGTGGTGGGAGTGGGATGCTTGGTGGCCGCAGGGGCAGGAGTTCTTCACTCGTCCAAACCCGCACTGGAGCAAAGGTGGTTTTGGGCAGTTGCCTCCAGCGGCGTGAGGGGACGTTTTACAATCGCCACGAGTGCTGCAAGAGGCAACTTCACAACTTCTAGAGTCTCCAGGAATGTTATACTCTACAAATTTCGATCGCTTCTAGTCTTGCGATGCCACGCGAATTTGTCGACTTGATAGGCACGATCCTGCCAGAGACTCGAGGCAGGACCGAACACATGGCATGGCTTCCAGTCGTGCACATCGCTCGTGCACAATGTCCGCACTGCTCGTACAAGTCCTGGTAGTGGTATGAGGCCGCTGCAAATGCCAGCAGGCAGAATTTGGAGAAGGCCAGCTCACATCGAGCACATCAAGTAGAATTTCGTCCTTTCCACTGAGTTGTTGTGTCTATGTGTTTCCAGGCTCTAGCTGTCTTCAAGGCCAGGTTTGGCCATCTGTTGTAAGACGTTTGCCACGCTTGTGGCTTGCATTTTTTTTTTGGGATGGTTTCTTCTTGTTGGTTGTCATGAGTGGGAGTTGATGCAGTGAGGACTTCGAGTCCGCCGGGCCTCCGAAGAAGGCCGCCAGGCCAGGTGCTGATAGCTGCGCTTGCTTATAAGCGGGCATACATAGTAATACATAGGAGTCATGGGAGTCATAGGAGTCAAGAGGTTGCATGGTCTGCGCCTGCACACATGTGCGCGAGGCAGCGCCTTCAAGAGGTGGAGCTGCAGATGGAGGCCCCAGGCGCAATCACTGTTCACCTTGCAGTGCTTGTTGTCCTTGTCCCAGGCCGTCCGGCTCAGCGAATGCCTGTTTGCCAGCTCAGCGCTCTAACCCTACCCCGACCTGCTAGGGCTTTCATCAGTTTCAGTCGGTTCACAGAGTCATCGTCTTCGCACCCTAACCGAGGCGTGCAGTGCTACCCGCTCTGCGGACTAAGCCTGGGACCTCAGCTGGTAGGGACGAGGACTGATATCGCCTCAGGGGCACTGTCAGTACTGTCACAATCGCATATAGTGCCAGGCCCGCGGATCGCAGTCGCAGGGAGGAGGCGGCGCTGGCGGCTGCAGAGGGCGTCTTCCGCGACGCGATGAAGGTGCACTCTTTTCAATATTGCGCCTGAACACGACAGTGACGACCCATCTCTGAACTTCAACTTTGCGCGACACGTGCACCCAGAAAAGCCTCCAGAGTCCAAAGTCGCGGACGCCCGAGAAGCGTGCACGTGGAAACACCCACACGAACAAGTATACCGAGGCATGAAACATGCTGCGACGGCTGCCGCCAACTAATGACCACGACGCTGCCACCCGACTCCGACTACGACTCCAACTACGACGACGACGAGGGACGAGGACGAGGACGACGAGGACGACGAGGAGGAGGACGACGACGACGACGAGGACGAGGACGAGGACGAGGACGAGGACGAGGACAACGACGACGACGACGACGACGACGACGACGACGACGACGACGACGACGCTTCCTACTCCTACGCTACCGCTACTGCTGCGGCTGCTGCTGCTTCTGCTGGGCGATTTGGCCATTCTAAAGGCGGAGTAGTTTCATGACCCGTGGATGTGTTTTCACTTTGGTTTCTGAGTCTTTTGGTGGCATCACCATGTTGAACCCCTGGTGCTCATAGTGTGCCGGTGCAAGTGAGCCGTGTCTTGAACCATGAAGGACCGTGAAGAGCAGCAAAGCCAGCACCGCCAGGGCCTAATTATTGAAGCAGACACGGTTTTGCTGCATGAAGATCGCCGTCGTGACGCTGTCGGGGGCTCTTACACGAGCGTTGACAAGACTTGGGGCTTCGGAGATGAATGACATGGCTGGAATGGTGTCTGTGACACTGCGTGTGTGTGACATGTGTGGCTAAGATGAATCCCGCTGGCGTCTGGAATGTTCTAGACTCCCCGCAGGGTTGCAAGTTTCCAGGACAGCAGCTGGCATGCGCTCGGCGGAGCCTGGAGCGGGCAAAGGCAGAAGCCAGGCACCTGGAACGTCCAAACTGCTGCTGTGTACACATAGCTGCCCATTCGATTGAAGCATGATTGAAGTCAAGCACGACGAACGAGAAGCAGATCAGGTCGCTGCGGCTGAGAAGCAGGTCGAGGAAGAGAAAGAGCGAGAAAGGCCTGGCGAGGGGTCAAGATACAAGCAGCGAAAGCGATTCAACTTATCTTTGGCTGCAGGCTGCTAACTCTAATCAAGGTGGCCAGCTGACTGGCGCCTGAATTTTTTCGCTCCGAAAAACCGTTTGAACGATTATGTTGCAAGGGATGCCCGCAACAAGCAGACGGCAGCCTTGGCGTCTCTGGCGCAGGCAGGCGGGCGCTACAGTGCTGCACAATTCCGGTGAAATAGAGTCAGCCGTAGACCGGTGCATGCGACACAGACGGTGAACAGCCCTGACCACCCCAGGTCTCTGCATCACTTCATCAGTTTGGAGAGGAGGGGTGCGTAATGTGGACGTGGTTGCGGCTCATATATCACACGTGTTTTTGGATCATATGTGCACGTGGTCGCCTCATAGGTCCCTCAAAGAAACCCCTATATGTGCGGGTTTGGGGCGTTTCTACGTGCGGTTGGCGGTGCACATAATATGAGTCAGATGATCCCTTACCACGGGCTTGAGAGTGTGCATCATTTTCACCTGCTTCAGTCATGCATCCGTTCGATTCGTCATCATGACGATTGGCAACTCTGAACACGTGGTTTGGTTTTCGGGCAATGAGATGCAGCTGGGATTAGCTTGAGACGGGTTTTCCGTCGTCTTCATGGTGGGCGACCAGTAGCTGCGGCAGTGACCATCTGCGAAGTGGGAGTTGCATTTTGGCTTGCGTATGGCGACGGTAGGAGACGCGAGTCTTAGTCGGGAGCCTGGCTGGACAGCGGACTTTCCACGAAGATGTCGAAGTTGCAGCAGCTTTTCTTAGTCTGCCATGCTATGCCGACTGTACATGCTCATGTTGCGAGAGTGACCACCCTGTGTGCCATGCTGTGAGCCATCTTGTGGCTGAGCACCCTCTTAGCTGCGTAGCTCGTGCGCACCCTATCTGCCTAGGTCGAGCACCAAAAAGCCTCAGAAGCTGCACTCCGACTGGCGCAGCGAGCGCTGGTCGCACTGAGGCGACTGTGCTGATGCTTTATACCTGCAATGCATGTAGCTAATGTAGTTGCGAAGGGCACGTTTCGGGCACAATCTTCTTGGCTCTTGTTATTGATCAACACTCGTTAACGTGCAAGATGTGGGCATTCTATCTTCGAAGCCTGGAGTCGCGTCTCTGATCGTCGCTCCCCCCACCCCCTAATGTGTCGGCCCACCCTCCTTTTGGAGGGCGTGAGGTCCTGTACGCATGGTTTTTGTGAAGCGCACAGCCGTCATAGTTTGTGGGCAGCTCGTCCGCTTTTTGGGCATGTTTGCGGCCTACACTCCATGCCCTATGCCCTACGCCGGCGATAAGACTGTCGTCCTATCACGGACTTTTTTCGGCGGGGTCCAGGTGAACCCCTCAATTCCTCGCATGTTTGTGGAGACGGCGCCTCTAAGAGGCCGTGCGAGTAACCACAATTTCTGGGGCTCGGGGTGGGGGGGTGGGGGTGGGGGG